TTGGAAATTCCCATCCCTCTTGTCACGGACATTAGGACCATCACCTTCATCATAGTTCTCATCATCAGTGCTTGGAAGATTAAAAGACACTCTTCTTTTTGTCACGTGTCCCTTCTTGCCCCAGCCGTATATAAAACCCTTACTGTAGTCATTACGGTCTCACTTAAATTTTATTAATTTGCCTTGTTTCAGTTTTGTTGACAGTTTATCCAGGTCTTCTTTTAATTTGTTTTCAAAAGGCAACCTATGTTCCTCTGATTCTGTCTGAGTGAGCTCAGATTTTAAATCCTCAATCTGGGATTGTAGAGCTGACTTCTGCTTTCTGGCTTCTTCAATTAACAAGAGGATTAAGTCTAGGGAGCATTTATTGAGAATTGCTTCCCATTTATCCTTAAAATCCACATTATCATAACCAAATGAAGGAAATGTATTCAATCTCAACCCTCTTGGGATCATGTCCTGCCTCCAGTAGTCAGATAAGGTAATAATGTGAAGATTCAGCTTTACCTCTTTTTCAGAAAGTTTTTGTAGATCAATGTGCACTTTACGTGTGTCTGTCCTCTGTGCATGTTCCTGATCAAAATCCACTTCCAGAAGAGTGTCTTCTACAATGATGGCTTTGCCCTCGTCCTAAGTGTAGGAGAAAGATCTAGTTGTGGCCATATTGATGTTGTAGCGGGTCCTCAACGTTAAAAAAATAGAACGGAGCTGCTCCTGTCCAGGGTCACCCAAAATGATCCTTATAAGACTGAACAAAAGGAAGCTGGAGCGCTGCGGGTATCCCTTGTATCCTCTGGTGCTCTTGGAAGGGTTGAATGTTCGTAAAGTAAATATGTAGTTGGATTGTTTCATGTAACTTAGTTCTTCTCCCTCGCTGTGTTATGGCTTTGCTATGTGGGGATAAATGTGCTGGTTAAGTTCGTGAGACAGCTGATTAGTAGGCTACTCTTGTCATTGACCGTAAAACATTTACAGGAATCACCAACCCGTCGATCTTGGAAGCATTTTAAGTCGATCGAGTTTCCGAAATCAGAGAAAAAAAGCCTATTGTGTGTGTAGTAAGTGTGTCTAGGGATGCGGAGGCGCGCGCGCTGTTACAATCACATCATTTCTGCCGCACGCACCTTTGGGCTCATGCCGACGCGTCAAATTTAAACAAGGCTTACGCTTTAACCAGCTCAGCCACAGTAACAGCTCATATTAGCCAGCTAAACTTTTACTACCCTGTTAGAAAAAATATATAGTTGCATAGTTTCATGTGGTTCTTCTCCCTCGCTGTATTATGGGTTTGCTATGTGGGGAGAATGTGCTGCTTACGTTCGTGAGACAATCAGCTGATTACTATTATTTAGTGCTGGGCAAGTTAACGCGTTATTATCGCGTTAACGCATTTATTAATTAATGCCGACAATTTTTTTATCGCGCGTTAACTCAGTTTTTTTATTATTATTATTTTGAAAGTCCGTTGCTCACTGGCTCTGAATACACATAGGCCTACAGTCAAACCATGATCACAGGAGGGGTGGGATGTTTGTCAGCCAGCAAGTAACCCACCCAAACCAGCAGTGGAGAGGCTTTGGCAGGTTCTCTCAGGTGAACAGAAAGGGAGACAGCGCTCCGCGAGTGAATGACAGGCGCTCTATGGATAGTAACCAGGGCAACGGCTTCTGTGCCTTTTTAACTTAAATTAAAATTAAACATAACTTTACCTGATAGGCCTGCGTTTAGTTTAGCGGGGATGCTCTGCCATGTGAATTCCCTCCTGTTGATGTCCTGATAACTATTTAGATTCTGGAAACTCACAAACAGCGAGCCGAGGATCAGTCTCTCTTCCAATAATTTGTGCTGCGCGTCGTGTACAAAAAGTTCGACAATGCCACTTCGGCAACGCGCGGGCGCGTGCGTGAGGCGAGCATGACTGCAACAGTTTCACAGGAACGCACCCGCTTGTCGCTGCACCTGTGCTCGACCACTTCACCTCACTCTAGGCTGATTTATACTTCTGCGTCGGACCTACGCCGGAGCCTCTACGCTATAGACTACGCGTTGGTTTTCATTTATATATCTGCGTCGTTGTCCGCGTTGACGCGCAATTACACATGCAGAGGGAGAGTGAGAAACCCGGGGAGCGGTTCTAGCAATCACAGCGCTTGCGGTACGCGTAGAATTGACGTTACATTTTTGGAGAGATGCACGTCAGGGTACGCGCGCTACACAGCTACGGCGTGAGTTCGATGCAGAAGTATAAATTGGGCTTTACCTCTGTTTAATGTAATCTTACGTGGGAAACCATGGCATGCCATGACCACACCTAAGCTGCTATCAGAGAAGTAACGTTGGTCGACTTATATCTGTAGTAGTGATCATGACCCTTTGACTACATAGACTGTTTCTGCTGCTCCCTGATACAAAATACCTGTTCAGTGAAAAAAGAAAAAAAAAGAAAAAAAGAAAACTGGACTCGTTTTAACAAGCTAGATAAAAGGTAATGCAGTGGCAAATAGCTTTGTTTAAATATTTGATTTGATTACGTTAATGTTTAAGTTGAGATTTACAAGAAATATTTTATTGATACTGTGTAAAGGAAATACTGCTGGTATAAAAGCACCTTATTTGTTTAAAGTTTTTGCAAACCACATGTTATTGCACTTTTGTAGCAGTACATTTAAATCAAAAGTGCGCAATACACTACTTTAGAATTCATTATTCAATTTTGCGCGTAACAATGCGATTAATCGCGATTACATTTTTTAATCGATGCCCAGCACTACTATTATTATATTATGTATTAAGACCCTTGATCCTCACTTGAAACTTTATCCATGATGTGGTTTATAATGGACTGTGGTACAGAAACTTGGTTTACGCTGGCTATTCTCTGCTGTCTCAGTCGACGATGTTTGTCCCGTTTTAGCCACCGTAGCTTCTCCGAAAGGGAGGGGTGAGCAGTGGGCTGAGCCCTTAGTGTAAACTCGCAACCGAACCGCCAGATGTCGCCAAAAATCACACACTGGACCTTTAAATGAAATCTGGGGATTTTGCTGTGTGGATTCTCATGTTGGATTACTCTCTTTAGTTTGGTAAAATAAAGTTTAAGTTGCTAGGTTTGCTACGCCTCACCTCGTGTCCTCCTCATCCTGGATATTATTATGAAGCATCTCAACTAACATTCATCCTTTTCAGCTCAAGCTGATACAACAACACCAGGCACAAACTCTCAGGATCATTCGACATAATCACAGTCTTTTGTCTGTGTCTACAATTGTCCGTATAGTTCAAATATAACTAGATATTGACAGCAGTGAGTCCTTCTACACAAGGCTCATGATGATGCTGATGCTTTTAAGCCATTGATGATGTTATTCACAGAACAGCTTTGTCTAACATAATTCTATAGAAAATATGAATGGATTACCATATAGACACTCTACCACATTATATAAATAATCAGCGTGTAAGAGTTGAGTTGACCTTTTCCTTTTGTTTCTTGAGAGAAGAGCAATAAACAGTAAATAAATCACAGGGCATTAATACAGTCAGAGGAAGATCAGAATCGTTTGAAATCTCATTCAGTGCCGATGGCTTTTGTCTATAATTAGTAGTAGTAGTAGTAGTAGTAGCCTTTATTGTCATTGGTCACAAGTACCAACGAAATTAGCCATCAACCTGTCCATACAAACATACATACAATATGACAAGGGGGTAGACAGGACAGGAAGACAGAGCATTTAGGAAGAAAATACAGCATAACATGAGGAGAGGTGAGGAGAAAAAAAAGGCAACCCCCAGACTATGCTCCTGTGAGGAGTACAGTTTGGGAACAGTAAAAAACACCTCAGCAACATTTGCACATAATCAGTACACTCTACAAACATGAACACACAAGACTTGCAACAGGGGAGGGGAGTGGGGGATGGAGGTAACCCAGCTCAGACAGGTATCCGTCCGGTCCTGCAGCCATTCTCGGCGCTGGTCACAGACCCGCCTGTCAGACTGGTGGTACAAAGCGTTGAAGGCGAGGGATGGGGGGTGGGGGGGTGATTGCATATCTGTATATATGTAAGAGTTCGTGTATGTGTAGGCCTGGAGAGTCGCTATGCCTGGCATCATAATCTTAGTGCCTCAAGTCCGCAGGATTGTCATAGCGATACACAGCAAGTTGCCATGGAGACAACCCTGATCATGTCCCAGACAGAGTCAACAATCAGCAGGTGTCTGTGGGGAGTGGGGGAAGGAACGCAAGAGCGTCTCACTGCAGTGCTCTTCCGGGGGAGTTGTTGTTCCAACAGCGGCCTTGGCCAAGGCCAGTGCTGGATGAGGGGGGCCGAAAGCAGATAAGATTGGGATTAATTGGTCTTGGGACGAGTAGCCGCATTCCGATTTACACAGCCCCTGGTCCATTTTGGTCTCCGAAACGATCCATTTGCCTTTGCAGAGCTGTGAGCTTCTCCATGATGTTATCCATATTGTGGTTCATAGTCACAGTCTGAGTGCTGACAGCTCTGCCCACTGCTTCAATCATGACGGGCAGCCTTGTGGAGCTTTGGACAGCTGTCGCCGACTTCTTCATTTCTCGATAAACCAGGGCAATGCCTAATCCAATCAGCAGAAAACCTGTTATCATGGTTCCGAATAGGTAGATATCTTCAATGTCCTCCACGGAAAGAGCCGCCAGACACACGACCCTCACCTCTCCCACGCGTCCATCGTGTAGCCAGCTGCGAACGTTCCGGCAGGGCAGTTAGGTTCCCGCGAACCCAAGCTTCTCGTCGAGAAGATGGTGTCAATAGCGTTGAGAGACCAGTTGATCAAATCCATAATTTCTTAGTTTGGAGAGCAGTGCGGAGAGAGTCTCTCAAAAAGTACGAGACAGTAGACTAGACGAGACGAGAGGAGCAAAGCAGAGGAGGTAAGAGAGAGGAGGGAATGAAAATGCGACCGCCTTCGTTGAGAGCCAAAGAGAAGTAATTTTCCTCAATCCTCCTTTTCAGATCAAGCAGATACAACAACACCAGGCACACACTCTCAGGATCCTGCAAACACACAAGCTTCATAATCAGAGTCTTTAGTCTTTGTCTATAATTGTCCTGAATCTGCCCTGTCCGTCTCTGACTCTGAGCTCGATCTCTTCTTCAGTCATAGGGATTTCTGTCGCTGCAGTCGCTGTTCTCCTTCTTGCTCTTCTCTGGCTGATCTGCAGAAAAACAGCTGGTGAGTTTTCACATTTACTCCTTTATAACAATTAAAGGTCCAGTGTGTGATTTTTGGCGACATCTAGCGGTCCGGTTGCGAGTTTACACTAAGGGCTCAGCCCACTGCTCACCCCTCCCTTTCGAAGAAGCTACGGTGGCTAAAACGGGACAAACATATCGTCGTCTGAGACAGCAGAGAATAGCCAGTGTAAGCCAAGTTTCTGTACCACAGTCCATTATAAACCACATCATGGATAAAGTTTACAAAGCCATAGTCAGGTGAGGATCAAGGGTCTTAATATATAATATAATAATAGTAATCAGCTGATTGTCTCACAAACGTAACCAGCACATTTCTCCCCACATAGCAAACCCAAAATACAGCGACGGAGAAGAACCATGTGAAACTATGCAACTACATATGTTTTCTAACAGGGTAGTAAAAGTTTAGCTGGCTAATATGAGCAGTTACTGTGGCTGAGCTGGTTAAACAGCGCGCGTGTCTCCGCATGCCCTAGACACCATTTACTACACACAATAGGCTTTTTTCTCTGATATTGAAAACTCTTCGCGATAGACTTAAAATGCTTCCAAGATCGACTTGTCGACCGCGATCGACGGGTTGGTGACTCCTGTAACGTTACTGTTTTACGGTCAATGACAAGAGTACTAATCAGCCGTCTCACGAACGTACATTTATTCATTTAGCTGACATTTATTCATTTAGCTGACGCTTTTATCCAAAGCGACTTACAATTGCTATATATGTCAGAGGTCGCACACCTCTGGAGCAACTAGGGGTTAAGTGTCTTGCTCAGGGACACATTGCACATTGCACACGTAACCAGCACATTTATCCCCACATAGCAAAGCCATAACACAGCGAGGAAGAACTAAGTTAAAGTTACATGAAACAGTCCAACTACATATTTTACACCACTGACAAGGGAAAAGTCACTACTTACTGTGTTTATGGCTAGCTTCTAGGTTTCTGCGGCTTCTCTTTCAAGGTAGTGACGAAACGCGCTCTGTAACGCTGTTTGTTCGCGTTCGGCTACTGTAGAAACATGACGTCACAATATGTAGACCTTCATAGAAGGGGGTGCCCGCGCCTATGTAGATATAAATGCCTCATTCTAAGGTAATAAAAACATTACGGTTTATTAAGTAAGTTCTTTATACACCACTGAACACATAGTTATGGATGTCATATTGCATTTCTGTTAATAGATACTCAAAATTTGTACACATTGCACCTTTAAAAACAGTTCAGATGAGCAAACAAACACATCATGTTCAGACTGTAAGAATCACAGAAACATGTGGATTATATGAAATTCTCAAACAGAAAATCCTATAATGTCAATCTCAACGAGATATCAAGTCAACAATCATTTTTATTATTCATTTTAATGCTTCAACAAAATCTGATTGTCCATAAATACTCATATTTCATGAGGCACTTGTTTTCAGATAATAAAAGAGGGACTGGCGACTCTGCGGTGAGTTCAGTAATGCAGTGATTTAGATTTGATTAATGTCTTTAAAGCTCAATAAAGTGTCATTCATGCAGTTTAACTGTTTGTTCTGAAGGTCAAAGATGAGAATGAACATAAAGGGACGTATGAGACGATCAACATGTCCACTCCTCCTGCAAGAGCCGATGTGAGTCACTAAATCATCAAACATTACGCTCACTGTCTGTTCAATAATGTGATTTAAAAGCTTTTGTGTTATTCTACATATTATAGTGAGAGATGTGTGTGTGTGTGTGTTAAACTTGACTCTCTGCACGTTTGCATTGATGTTTAGGAGCAGACAGATGATGTGACTTATTCTGAGGTCACTTCTTTCAATACAAAGCCAGTAAAAGCGCTCAATGTGAGTAGATACCAGCACATTCCCTTGTTCTTCATCACTGTCCATCATCACTGACTCTCAGATAAATGAAGCTCATGCTCTAATAATGGTAATAATAATCGCTGTGGTTCAAACATTGATGGACAGACTCTGTGCTGTTCTTTCAGGATCATGATGATACAGTGACTTATGCTGCCATCAGAGGAAGAGAAGAACCGCAGGATGAACTTTACGCCTCTGTGAACAAGAACAAGACCTTCACAAATACACATTAATGATACAGATCATGAGCTCATCCCAGATAGCAACATTGTTTCAGCACAGATCTGGCCCACATGCTGTGTGGAAGGACGGCCCTAGGACGGACCGCTCCTGTTTGCCAGATCTGGGCCACAAGCAGGCCATAGCAATGCCACATGTCAGCCAGAGCAAAGAAATAAACCAGAACTGGACCTTGACCCACACAAGTGCCAGATGTGGGCCGGATCTGGGCCGAAACAATGTTGCTATCTGGGATCGTATCAGGAAATCTGGTGTTTGGAGGAATTGTATACTTGTGTGTGAACGAGCAGATATTTGTTTAATGTACTGTGAATATGAATGAGATTTATTGTGAGTCATCATCTGGTCTGTAGTCGGTCTGAGCACAGAATCTCATCTATATCATCACAGCTACAGTAAAGATAGAGATTATCCGCTGGATTTCTGTCTGAAAACCTTCATCTTCATGCAGAAGCTCATGCTGAAATGATCCTCTTGCTTCAGCTTGTATATCAGCTGTTTCTTCTACAGAGAGACGTCCGTCTGAGAATTACATCAGTCTCTGCTTGCATTATATTGTCATCAAATATTCAGAAGTTTTACTTTGCAGTGTCTATATGTTACGAAATGGCAGGTAATTTCTTTCTTTTTTTTCACATGTGACAATAAAGAGCATGAAGAATCATGATTTAAAAGTTGTCGTCTCTTCCATTCCTGTAAAAACAGACGTAACTAAACTTGCTCTTGTTAGCTGGAAAGTTTCATAGTTTGAATTCACGATTTAAATTAATTCTTCTATGAAGGTAAAAGAGTAGCAAAATTCGAGAGCTTGTAGATTAGAATTTGAGAACAAAATATTCATGTTTGTAAGCTGAAATTTACCCTCATAGTTCTGACGTAAAGTTAATGTTTCGATTCAAACAGACAATAAACTAGTCAGACTTTACCAACTAAGTCCAAACGTCGAGCGAGGTGAGATGACCATTACACTGACCTCGTACCTTATGCACACGATGATGTTGAAACGATGGAATCTCGTTTACACTGCAGGTTTTGATGCCCAATATTGATTTGTTGCCTATATCCATTTTTCTGTCAAAGATACTAGAAAAGGCAGTATCTTCACAACTATGTTCCTTTTTAGAAAGAATTTTCAGTCCGGATTTAGACCGTATCATAGTACTGAGACATCTCTCATCACAAATGATTTGCTCTTATCATCCGATCGCGGTTGTATCTCTATATTAGTGTTAAGCTGCATTTGACACGATTGACCACAACATTCTTTTAAATAGACTCGAAAATTATGTTGGCATTAGTGGAATTGCACTAGCATGGTTTAAATCATACTTAACTGACCGTTATCAGTTTGTAGCAGTAAATGAAGAGATGTCTTATCGATCACAAGTTCAGTATGGCGTCCCACAAGGCTCAGTACTAGGACCGCTGCTGTTCACTCTGTACATGCTACCATTAGGAGATATCATTAGGAAACATGGAGTTAGCTTTCACTGTTATGCCGATGATACTTAGCTCTATATTTCTTCACACCCTGACGAAACATACCAATCCACAAAATTAACGGAATGCATAGCTGATATACAAAACTAAATGACTAGTAATTTCCTACTACTAAATTCTGAAAAAACAGAGATTCTAATTATTGGACAAAAAACTTCCACACGTAATAACCCAGAATACTGTCTAACACTTAATGGCTGCTCTGTCAAGTCCTCGTCGTCGGTTAGGAACCTGGGTGTGCTCTTTGATACCAATCTTTCATTTGAAAGTCACGTGTCTAGTATCTGTAAAACTGCATCTTAAAAATATATCTAAATTACGTCATATGCTCTCACTGACAAATGCGGAACAGTTAATTAATGCGTTCATGACCTCAAGGCTGGATTATTGTAATGCTCTACAGGGTGGTTGCCCTGCACGCTTAATAAACAAACTCCAGCTAGTTCAAAACGCCGCAGCTCGAGTTCTTACCAGAACCAGGAAATATGACCATATTAGCCCGGTTCTGTCAATACTGCATTGGCTGCCTATTAAACATCGTATACATTTTTAAATATTGCTGATTATTTACAAAGAACTAAATGGTTAAGCTCCGCAGTACTTGAGCGAGCTCTTAACGCATTATAGTCCTTCACGTCTATTGCGATCTCAAAATTCCGGCCAGTTGATAATACCTAGAATATCTAAATCGACTGCTGGCGGGAGATCCTTTTCCTATTTAGCACCAAAACTCTGGAACAGTCTTCCTAACATTGTCCGGGAAGCAGACACAGAACACTTCCTCAAATCTGCTTTATCAGCGTTTAACCTATTCTGAGAACAGAGCTATTCTCTGAATGTGTTCAAATGCATCTGCAAAATCAGCATCATCTGGAAATCACACTGAATGCTACACTTGAAGTCCATTTCAGAGTCTTATATCTGAGCTTTCTCTATTCTCCCGAGTAACTCTCTCAGTTAAATCATCTAAAAGACAACATTTGATGTTTTGCATATGTGATAGTCCTATTTCTCTTTATTTTGCAGATTTTAAACACACATAAACACTAACATTTTACATTAAACATTTCCTTTATCGCATTTACAGTCAATGAAGAACATTTCTCTTTATTTTGCAGATTTTAAACACACATAAACACTAACATTTTACATTAAACATTTCCTTTATCGCATTTACAGTCAATGAAGAACTCATGATGGTGTTCCAGCATCTACCAGCAGAGGGTTGATGAGATTATTCAGTCAATTCCTGACCCAATCCCAGATGAAATCAGTGAGGATCAGGCACTCTTTTAGAAAGACAAGTTTCGGGCTATGCTTTTGGACTCTGCTCATGCTCATGCTCATGCTCTGCTCATATATATCATAAACAGGTAAGAGCTTAAATATATACTTACCTGTCAAAGGGTGTTTGAGTCTACTCTCCCTATAAAAGCGAGGCCAGACTCACAATCAGGACTTGTTGACTGCAACTGCGGCGCCTCAAGCAAACCTTTGTGTACTGTGGATACGGTTTGGAGAGTTTTCGCCTTTATTTTTTATTTATTTATTTTTGGTACTTTTTAGGTTTTTGTGTGCACCTGGATATATACTTCACTGTGGACTGTCTCTCTTATTGGCACTGTAAATAAATTACACCTTGCACGAGAGTGCTCTGCGAGTAAGCATCACTTGTTTTCATCCTCATGGACCCCAGTTACCGTTTTTCCAGTGGCACTCGCTTCATCACAGTCGGCAAGCACAGACCCATCCTCGACCCATCGGTGCATTGGCCCCTCAATAAAGTCGTCCTGTACCTTTACCAGAAAAACCGCCCAAAAGCATGATGTTTCCACCGCCGTGCTTGACTGTAGGGATGGTGTTCTTGGGGTCATAGTCAGCATTTCTCTCCCTCCAAACACGGCGAGTTGAGTTGATGCCAAAGAATTAAAAATGTTGGTCTCACCTGTCCACAGCACTTTCTCCCAAGCCTTCTCTGAATCATTAGATGTTGATTGGCAAACTTCAGATGGGCTTGAACATGTGCCTTCTTGAGCGGGGGACCTTGCGGGGGCTGAAGGATTTCAATCCATTGCGGCGTAGTGTGTTACCAATGGTTTGTTTGGTGACTGTGGTCCCAAATTTGCCCATTGGCCTCTGTCCATCATGGCCTCCTAATCATCTACATATACTGATTGGCTTCATCACTGTCTCCTCTCCACCAGTAAGCTGGTGTGTGTGTGTGTGTGTGTGTGTGTGTGTCGCATCATCCAGGTGGAGCTGCACATTAGTGGTGGTGGTTGAGGAGATTCCCCCTTCCATGTAAAGCACTTTGAGTTAGGGGTCGACCGATTATCGGCGCCGATATTAAGCATTTTTATGGTTATCGGTATCGGTCATTTTCAAAACCGATTTGCCGATAAAATAATTTTATTTTGAAATGCGCTATATTTGGCTCTAACACAGCCACATCTGTCGAACTCACCACTCTGTAGACTAGACTAATGTCCCCGCCCATCTGAGTTGTTGGGAGTCAGAGTCCGGCGGATCAACGCGGAAAGCTGAAGGCACTGAAAGTTTTGCACTCTCACACCGAAAGCTCTTGCAGACTGAGGCTGCTTCACTGATCATCAGTTGTCTCTCAAAGTTGAGGCAGCAGCAGACTTTGCTGAAGAAGCAATACATTACTACACTGAAGTTGCAAAATACCTCAATATAATAGAGCCCTGTGATTTCCGCGATGCAGAAAACAGACGAAATCCAGTCATAAAAACAGAATATGAAGACTTTAAATATGAATCCTGCGTGTCTCTAAATGAATGGCGCAGACGCGTAAATTCATTTACCACACACACACACACACTGGAGCACGCGTGACGCTTGCGCTGTTTTCAGCCTCAGCCGCATCATTATATGAGGACATGATTGCATAAACATCATCTCCAGAGTCGCTTAGTCACTTCATGAGCTTTTTAATGCTTCAACTGAGAAAAGTTATCGTCATATCATAAACACAAAGATCTCCACGGCAACCCGTCAAAATAAAAGTTCGGTTTTTCATAGGGCTCTAAAAATACCATTTTTGTTAAATTGTAAATAAATTGAATAAGTTTGATGATTTCAATTAATTAGAAATGCTTTTTGATTACTAAAATTTAATTTAAACATTAAAATAAAGTACAAAGTTTTACAAAGTGTTTACAGAATGCTGCTGGGTGCTCCCTGCACCTTTTAAGTTATTATAATCAGGGCTTAATTTGAGCCGGGAACCTTTTTTTATTGGATCCGGCTCCTCCTGTGTCACTATGGAAAATGAATAATTACTGTTTGTTTAGTGTTCAATGTTGATATCTGTCTTGTTAGTCTTTATTCCCCATTGAAGTTCCACAAAAATCTTGTGTTTGCAGTTTCGATGCGTTTTTGAGGTGAATTTTCGGCACACCGGACGAGAAGCGTCGCGCAGCATCGTGCAGCGCCACATCTTTAAAATTCTAACACATTATTCTCTATGTAGACATACCG